CTCTGTGTTTCTCTTATTCCATTGCCCATATATGTACTATTATTTATCATTTCGCAAATTCGTCCGAATCTATTTTTTTGTTTGTTCAAGACACCTGTACTATAAAATTTTCCTTATATGAAAATTGGTTTTGTAGGTACTTGATCTCTGTAATCCTCCATGCAAATTAATGAAACAAGTTAATATATTACCTCAAAGTCTTTAGGATTTGCATTTCAGTAGATTCCTCAAGTATGGTTAGTTTGTTAATAACGTTTTTCGTTACTTTAGTCGAATATATTCATTGACATTTTGTTATGTGATTGGACACAAGTTTTTTGTTACTAGCAAAAGTCCCATCTTCTCGAAGGCATCCATGGTTAGTGTATTCGTACAATTTGTAGTCTATGAATATATTTTAATGTTGTCATGTGGCATGCTGATTCCTTGCTATCATCATCCCTAAAAGCAATCTCTTAATCTTGGGTCACCGTGTTAGCACGGATTACCAATTGTGACATTGATCAACTAGGAAAATAATATGTTGTTTTGAAGTCTATCTTGGTAGTATTTTTTGAGGACAGTATGTGTCGCACCTAAATGCATGCTCTTAGGTATGTTATTTTATCAATTCATAAAAATTAGATTCATCATGTTCTTTTATTTTTGTCAGACTCTAATTAAAAGTTTACTGTTTAATTTCTTTCTTTAGAATTTGTGTGCGAACATCATGAAGAATGTTGCATTTCATAGATATACCACTTCTACTTCCATTGAGGCCCAAGCCATGCCAGTTTTTCTAAGTAAACAAGATCTGTTAGGTTGTGGTGGTGACAAAACTGCTCCATTCATACATATCACACAGGTTTTGATTTTTGCTACCTATCGTGGATATTCATTATATTTTCTTGTTATATTATAACTTATTGTATGTTTTTTCATTCTTGTACCATTATCTGGCTCAGCCTCCTAATCAGTTTGGAGATAGATTGATTTTGTTTTTCTGACTACTAATTACTACCTGCTTCTGTGTTTTTATTTCAATTGCAGGGAGCTTTTTCTTCATTTCTATGTTAGTTGAGGATAAAAGATACTTGATGAAATTATCATTTTCAAGTAAATTATTGTATTCCATCTTGTAAATTAATGCTTCCTTTTTGTTCAAGTTTTGGATTGTCCCTTACATGTTTATCAAACATTATTTCTTTTATATAAATGTGTTTATTAAAATTTTGTAATACAAGCTCCCATCAATTCTTAGCATTCAAAACGCGAACATAACCTTCAAAATAACAATATTTGTGCATTGCACAGGTCAAAAACTAGTATATATATAAATACACACACACACACATAATGATAAAAAAGAATGAATACTTAACACCACGTATCTTGATTTTTTTTAAAATATAAAGGAACAAAATGTGTAAAAGCCTTTCTTCTTCACACTCTTGCTATTCCCTTTAATCTTAACTTAACATAAAAGATATTTTTGAGAGAAAATAAAAATAAATTCAAATTTGATGCGATGTGTAGTGAAGAAGTGACCTTCCTCTTTTCGCAACCTCCATTTTTAATGAAAAACTAAGTGGGAGAGTTATAATATTATTAACCATGTTGAATTGAGTCTTTGACTGTGAATTTAAAAGTTTTTAGCCCGTTTAAAAAAAATTATAATAAAAGTTTATAAAACATTTACTTAATGAAAAATAGAGGAAAATGAAATATTCGTATGATTTGTAACCTATTTCTATGAATGCCACTAATAGGTTAATAGCAATTAACTATTCTATCAATAAACTTGATATAATTTTTCTTAATGCGCAAAATGAGGAGTTTTTAACTCAAAATAATTTTATAAAAAATCTACATAGTAATTTGAACTTGGATTGCATATGTGAAATACCATGCAGACAATAGTGACAACCCAATTATTAATTAAATCTTTGTAATCAAATTTACTTAAACTTAATGTTTTAAATTTTAAGATTTTTAAATAACTTATAGCTTTCACTTTCATAACCTTGAATGGGTCGAACCTTCATAACTCATTTCTTAAATAGGCTACATAAACCAACTTAAAAATATAAATTTCGAAACCTTACATAGAAAGCTTGCAATGTGGCCATGATAAATATGTTATGGACGAAGTTTAAATATTAAGGCCCTATTTGTTTGGGATTAAAATAAGATTTTAATATAAGTCAAAGTCAAACAATCAATATTAACCACATCTTTCATGGGTCCCACATCTTTTCAACCACACATTTCAAAAACTTCTATCACAATCTACTAAAAATCTAATTTTAATCTCCACCAAACACCACTAAAAATTATTTCTATACCCTATTGACAAGTAGAAGATACATATATCCATATAAACCAGTCATAGGCCATATTTATTTCGGATTAAAATCAGATTTTAATTTAAGTCAAAGTCAAACAATCAATATTAACCACATCTTTCATGGGTCCCACAGCTTTTCAACCACACATTTCAAAAACTTCTATCACAATCTACTAAAAATCTAATTTTAATCTCCACCAAACACCACTAAAAATTATTTCACATGAATTATTGAACACAAAATAAAAAATAATTATTAACATGATTTCTTTCGGCATTTTTGACTTGTTATTATGAACTCATAGTTTATCGATTTTTAAATTCGAAAAATGTATTACAGAGTTTATCGTGAATACTTCGAAACGATAACAGAAATCTCACCCGACAAGTGAAGAAAATAGCTCGTAAATAAGCCAGAAGAAGTAACGTCAAAACATAAATTAAAATGAAAAAAATAATAATTCTATCACTTTTCATAGAGACGTGACAAAAAGACACTTTTTCACGTTCTCATTTTTGCAAAAATCTTGTAGGCATCAATTGAATTGATTCAAAGAAATATAAATTGAATACAAAATTAAAATATATTCTCATTTTTGCAAAATTCTTGGATGCATCAATTGAATTGATTAAAAAATAATATAAAAATGATTTGAATACAAGATTAAAAACAATGTTTGAATTCATATATTTAAATTATTAAAAATGTATGCGTATATATTTAGTTAATTGCTCTAATGAGATACTGTGGCATTTTCGGAGAAAAGTGTCTAAATGTCACTTCTTCATAGAAAAATCACTTTTTTATTTTCACAAATACCTTTGATACATCAATTGAGTTGATTCAAATAGATATGAATTGAATACAAAATTAAAGTAAGGCTTGAATTTGTATATTTAAATTTTAAAAAATGCACACATATGCATTTAGTTAATTGTTCCAATGAGATACTTTAACTTTTTCAAATTAAAGTGGCGGAATGTCACTTTTTCATATTATCATTTTTTCAAACACCTTGCATACTTCAATTTAATTGATTCAAAGTTTTTTTTTCATATGTATTATCATAAAACAATGTTTGAATTCGTATATTTAAATTTTGAAAAAATGCACACACATGCATCGGTTAATTGCTCCAATTAGATACTTTGACTTTAGGACGTCACTTTTTTTTCATTTTCTTTTTGAACAAACACCTTGCATGATTAAATCTAATTTATTCAAAGTTTTATTTTTCATGTGTACTAATATAAAACAATGTTTGAGTTTGCATGTTTAAATTTTCAAAAATGCACATGCGTGCATGTAGTTAATTGTCTTAATAAGATACTGAGACTTTTTTAGAATAGTGACAGAATGTCAACTTTTCAAAATTTCCTTTAGAGCAAATACCTTGTATGTATTAATTTAATTGATTCAAAGTTTTTCCACATGTATTAATATAAAACAAGATTTGAATTTGTATATTTAAATTTTAAAAAATGCACACATAGACATAGGCATATAGTCAATTGCTCCAATGAGATGCTTTGATTTTTTTTTTTTAGAAAAAAGTAGTCGAATGTCACTTTTTCATTCTGCTTTTGAACAAGCATCTTGTATGCATCAATCTAATTGAGTAAAGTTTTTTTTTTTCCCATATGTATTAACATAAAAACAATGTTTGAATTTGTATGTTCAAATTTTTATAAAACGCACATGTATGCATATAGTTAATTGCTCATATAAGATACTGCTGTGACTTTATTTATTTTTCACATTTTCCCTTTGAGCAAAAACCTTGCTTGCATCAATTTAATTGATTCAATTTTTTTCATGCATATTAACATAAAATAAGGTTTGAATTTGTATATTAAAATTTTCAAAATCGCATACGTATGCATCTAATTAATTGATCCAATAAGATACTGTGACTTTTTTGAGAAAAGTAATAGATTGTCACTTTCTCATATTATCCTTTTATCAAACACGTTGCATGCATCATTTTAATTGATTCAAAACTAATTTTTCATGTGTCTTAAGACAATTCATTTTCTCTCCCAACAATGTTATTTTAAAATATGTTTCCAATCATAATAGCAAAATCATCAAAAAAGAAAATTCATAAATGTCAATTATTTACAGTATAAGGTTCAAACAAAACCTAATTAAAGAAAGAGTCCAAAACATTAAAAAAACCTGTAATTTTGTTTGTGTATTTTAAGAATTGGAGAAGAGAACTTTAAAGAATGAATGTTAAAGCAACCTCTATCTTGTTTATGCCTGATTTGTAAAAGATTTCATCTTTTTCCTTTCAATTTTCCTTTGATTTTTCAAGATTGGAGGCTGATTTTTGACAAGACGTGTCGTGTTTTTAGGTTTGAGCGTATATTTTACGTTCAATTTTAATTATTTACCATTCAATCTAAGTTTATCATTTTTTTCAAAACTATCCTAAAATATGGGGTATTTGTGTAATTACCCCGAGTAAAATATTTACGATTTTAGACGTTTGATGATCCGTGACCCGTCTATACCCAATCATTAACATGGGCCGGATCTAGGCCCAAATTGTGGGTTCCTTTACCAATTACGAAGCAGCCGCTATATATACCCCTTCAAAGCTATTAGGGTTTTCTAGCAGCGGCTCGGAGCACCGCGAAAAAAAGTTTCAGCGTCACAGCTGCGGCAAAAATGGTGGAAAAGGGCAGCAAGGCGAGGAAAGAGGAGGTCGTCGCAAGGGAATATACAATCAACCTCCATAAGCGCCTTCACGGATGGTACTTCCTCTACCCCTCCAGTAAATATATATCCGTTCATAAATACATACATGTATATGTTGAATATGCGCTTGCATTTTCTTTACATTTTACTTCACTTGTAAAGTGTATTAGTTATTTAGATCTGTATTGGCTCGTTATTGCGTCTCAATTAGATTAATGAGATCATTTTTTGGGTTAACTGTTTCATTTTCCTATCTTCCTTTTTTAAAATGTTTCTATTTTTAGCTAATTTCTTTTGTACAAAAACCAGTAATGTTCTTTGTTAAGATAAAAATTAAATTTTTAAAATTTGTCGTCGTTTGCCTGTGCTGATTTAAAAAAAAAAAATTGTGTCTGCCTCTTTGTAGTTTGTGAATACAAGTCTTGTAAATGTTTTGGTTGGAGTTAAAACTGTTGTGTCGATGGGTAAGAATGTATGAATCGATTGGTTCTTAATCTTTTACAGATTGGAAAAAAAAAATGTTTTTTGTTGTTAATTTAGGATGTGGACAATATTTCGTACGCGCTATTATTTTCTGTCAATATATATTGCAGTTTCTACCTAGCTGGTGCAATTCAGAATCTTGAAAAATAGGAACTCAAATACAAATATTCCAAACATGTTTCAATAGAGTCATAATGATAGCATTAGCGTTGGAATCCGAGTATGGTGCAGTTTTCTGATAGTCTTGTCTGATACATGTGCTTTTTGTCTCTCTTTTACTGAGAGATGCCTACTTTTTTGGGTTACGTACTGACATTCATAGCCGTGTATCTGTGTGGCATGCTTATTGATTTCATTTTTTCTTCTGCAGCAGACTAGTTGTGTGTATTTGGTCATGAGTTTGAGGAATCGTGTTTATACGTGAACATACACTGTTATGCGATGCTTTTAAATGTTGGAAGATAAAATTTCCTAAATCGAATCAATTGAATTTAGATTGTGTTCTTTTGTTAGTTGACAGTTCGTTTTAGCCACAAATGGGATACACAACTGTATATGTTGTAAAAGCCGCTGCATGAAAAAAAGGGTGTTACTAACTCCTAAATTTCAGAAGTGATAGAAGGCATCCTTATTTCTTGTTTGATCAAAATCAAATTATAATCATTTGTCACCGAAAGATTAACTTTTTATAATTGTTAAGAGCCTTCATATCCCCCCTTGTTCCAGGTTTTACTTTAAAGTTTCCTTATGACAACTTTATTATATTTCTGTATCTGGTTGCGTTGTTTGGATACATTTGATTCATTATGTTGTGGATCCTTGAACAGCACCTTCAAGAAGAAGGCTCCAAAAGCCATTAAGGAAATCAGGAAGTTCGCCCAAAAGGCCATGGGCACAACTGATGTAAGAGTTGATGTGAAGTTGAACAAACAAATCTGGAGCCGTGGAATACGAAGCGTTCCAAGAAGAATCCGTGTCCGCATTGCACGCAAAAGAAATGACGATGAAGATGCTAAGGAGGAACTTTACTCCTTGGTAACTGTTGCAGAAATTCCCGAGGGAGGTCTCAAGGGATTGGGCACTCAAGTCATTGAGGATGAAGAATAAATTTATTTTTCCGTTTCAAGTGTTTACTCAAGTCAAGTTTTGGTGTAACAGTAGATTATTTAGACAGGTGGACCTTTGTTTCATCTTCGTATTATTAGAAGATCCACTTCAATGGATACTGTCGTGGTTTATGAATGCATTTCAACCCTGTTCTAGACTTATTTTGGTTCTTGAATTGATATGATTTTGTTTGTATTGGTAGAGCTTGGATTAAATTTGAATCCATATCAAGAGAATTATTCAATAAACTTGGTTATTTATATTACGGCTGAGCTTGATTCGGTCCGGTTCTAAAGAGAATTGAATCGAATCAGAATTTTTGGGCGTTTAGTAAGTAGAATAGTTGGGTTTAAATTTAATTATGGGATTGAATCGATTTGGTTCGATTTTGTTTCATAATTAAATATTTTTTAACATTTACAACAATCAAACTAACGGCATATTCAATATGGAAGGTATGTCAAAGTAAATGTGAAATTATTTGTCAAAAATTGGGGTGAAAATAAAGAATACTAGGAATTTAGCGAACGCAACCACACGCAAATGTGATTTCATGATAAATATTTTGAACACTAGTTATGGATTATAATTTTTTATACACTGAGCGTGATAAATTATTGGAAACGAATGAAATAAAGCTTACATTGATCAAAGTGGAGGAAATTCGATCAATATGATTGAAATAAGGGTAACATGAAGAGAGTCGCAACCGCTCAATTTCGATTATTTGAGAAATTATGTCACCCAATTTTAATTCTTTGAAATTTGAATTGTAAAGTTGTGTTTGAGCTGAAAACAAGAAAATAATATTTTGGCTTAATTAATTAGTTGACAAATTTATTTAAAAAAATATTTAAAAAATTGACTTATTTAATAAAAAATTAAAAAAATTAGAGAAATTCGATTTTTAGTCTAAACCCAACCAGTTGATTCTCGATTCAGATATCCGTTCGGGTATTTAACTTAAAAAAAATCTCTAGATTTGGTTCGGTTCGATCGATTCAATTTGAGAGTTTTGTCCAACCCTAATTTCTACGCTTGTATTACTACGAACCCCTGTGTTATAAAAATAAGTTTTTAATAAATTATGATAAGAGTTGATAGAATGTGTACTTGAAAAGTTATGGATTCGATAAAATGTGTTGTTAAAATTAAATGTTGATTTTGATTTAAATTTTAATTCAATTTTGTAGTTGAGTAAACTGGTGCATTGACACACAATGCAAGGGGTTTGGGACTATTCTATTTAAATAATGAACAAATTGAATAAATACTTTTTCATGACTTGAGTTTTATTGAGAGTTTATGCACATTAATTTTATACCCTTTAATTTTTGCAGAGTTCATATTATTGTTCTAAATTAAAATTCTTTATTTTTTACCGTTATTTTCAATTATATTCACATAATAAAATATTTTGCAAGTAAATTATTATTATTATTATTATTATTTTAACATTTTAACCACACATTGTTAAAAAAATCACTTTTTTCTAATTTTTATTTATATAACCTGTTTGTTTTCGATTAAATTCCAATTAAAATTCAAAATATGGCAGTTATTGGATATCATTCATCTAATAAAAGTCAACAATAACAGTTAGTTCTTCAATTTTAATCCGATTTTAATCTCTACTGAACACGCTCGTAATGATAATCAAATAGGGACAAAATCTGACCATAATTATAGTGTGTGACATCAAACTAGTAGCAACCAATATTGTTGGTCAATGATACAAAATTTTGGAAGAAGTTATAGGGCATGTTCGGTACAATTTAAAATCCAATTAAAATTGAAAATATGGTCGTTATTGGTCCTACTCGTCTAATAAAAGTCAACAATAACGGCTAATTTTTCAATTTTAAGCCAATTTTAATTTCTACCGAACATGCCCATAGTATAAAAAGAGCCATGCCACTTGTACAAAGTTAGGTACAAAATTGGTTTACAAAATACGTGTTGACAACATCTTAATCAATAATTTAAAAAATAGTTTTTGAAATCAATTGTTTATATCTTACTACGTTATTTTGTCAACACACTTTTGTAAATCATATTTGTACAAGTAACATAATTGATTTTTCTCTCCCTGGTCTTTTACCAGTCTCTCACTCTGCAGCTAAGGAAAGAATAAAAACAATATACAGGAAAAACAAAACAAAATCGAAACCCTAGATTTTGGGAAATGGCAATGGCAGGGCGATTAAGATCGGGTAATCCATTCCTTCGTCGAGTCCTTACCTCCGACACTATCTATGCCGTCTCCGCCCAGAGACCCGCCGCACCAAAATCCCTCCTCCGGCCTCTCACCAATACCGAGGTAATATAATACAATAGAAAGTTTAAAAAAATCGTTTAAACACAAATCAATGAATATCCGGTAGAAAAAGAGAGATGATTTTTATTTGCAACTTTTACTTGGTCTCATTTTTATCTGATCTCCTGGGCTATTTTGGATTTGGGAAAATCTGATTGAATAATTCAAAGAAGAATTATAGTAAATTAAATATCTGATTGTTTATAAAACTGAATTTTTAGTTTGTTGCTGTTTTATTTATTTATTCTTGGTAGAGCTGGGCAAAAATCGATCCGAACCAATCAAACCGATCAACCCAACCCAAACCAACCGGTTTGGATTGAGTTCTAAATTATCTATTAAAACCCAATTAAACCCAACCTAATAAATTAAAAATGTTAAAAAGAAAATTAGACTTAAACCAAAAATCTAAAACTTAATTATCAAAATTCTCCACTGCCTCACGTCTCTTTTGCCTCCCCTCATTGCTGCTCGTGCTTTGGCTTCTCTACTCGATTTTTTGACGTGATTTTTGACTAAACATTTGGATTGGAGGAGGAAATTTTATATTGGGATTGAATGATTTAACATTTTTAGTATTTATTTTAAATTCATTTTATTCAATAGGTATAATATGCACGTATTCAACATGTATTTAGATTGATTTAATACGTATTTAATTTGATCATGATATAATCTAGTTAACAAGTTTTACAATATTTTTAATTTATATTTTTCTATTGGAATGGAACTTAACCCCACGGACCATTGATCCAACTTCAATCGACTTAAGGCCTTTCAAATCACAATTTTTAATGTAACTAAAATTTATCTAAATTGAAATGGTATCAAACTTTTAAAAATTGTTCACATTCAACGAATAAGGTCACAACCATTGGACTTATAAAAAAATTGTCCAACTTGAATTGAACTCAAGTCCAAACGAATCAACCCAAACCAACCCGAGTTTGGATTGGGTTGGATTTCAACCGTGAATGGATTTGTTTTGGTTTGAATTATTGTTAAACCGAACATGTTGGCTTGGGTTGGACTCAAAACCAATCCAACCCACACCAGCCGTAATTCTTGGAAAAGAATGTCTTTTTTTCTCTCTCTCTCTCTCTCTTTCTTTTCTTTTCAAAATAACTTCATTTTACTTAACAATGGAGAGATGTCTATTTCATTTCTTATTAAGCCCATGTTTGAGACATTCTTATTTTCATTTTCATTCTTATACTCATTTTCAACCACACTTTCTTCAATAAAATAATATTTTCCATCACATCAAAAACATTTCCTTCTTTTTCAACCACATATTCACCCTCACATCACCAAAAAAAAAAATGCATTCTTTTCATTTTAATGTGTATCAAACACACCCTAAATATAGCTTTTGTAGCAGGTAACTCTTTTGATAAATGCTACAGTAATGCAACAAGAGATAAATCTTCTTTTTAATTTATAACTCTCCGTGATTAACTCAATAAATTTTCTATTATAAGTATTATTTGTAGAAAGTTGTTTGTTGAAAGCAGAGAAGAAAGTTAGGAAGAGCTGGACAATGTTGGAATATGGAAAAATGCAATTTTGGAATATGGAAAGGTGAAGGCTTCAGTAAGAAAATTTTGAAAGATGCCAAATGAAAGCTAACCATTGTTTAAAATTTTCTTATCAATCATAACCCTGTTCTCCTTCCTTATTCTTTCTCTAAATTATGAGGTTTCTCCAAAAAACTGAGTAAAATTTCTCCAAGTAAGCCTTGTAATTGAAGAGGTATTGCTTGTTCATTTACTTAGAGCATGCTTGGAAAGTGTTTATAAATGGTTTAAATTATAAATAAATAGAAATAAGAGGTGCGTAAATGGGTAGTACTCGTGGGTCTTTCAAAGCGTGTGGATAAAAAAGTGACTTGAGTGTTATAAACAGATTATAAACATGAGCCAAACATAGTTTTAAATTGTTGCATTGTTCAAGATAACCGATGGGAAGTGGAAGGGTTCAGGACGGAGGATTTTTTAAATTGAAAACTATGCCCTTGAACTTCTTCTCCACTCGCCCTACTTGTAGAGGGACAAGTCTCACAAATCACTCTTGCTCAATTTGTCAAGTTGCTGGGTGAGTAAAGGGTCCAACTTGTCAAGTTGTTCGAGGTGACCTGCAATTTTGACTGACGGGAGGCTTTTGATATGCATGAAATATACATTTTGTGAACTTTTACATGCATGGAACGCTATTTTGACAAAAAAACTGAAGAGATGCTATCCTTCATCTTGTCTACCAAAATGGGGCTATTTCAAAAGTATTCTCTTTCATTTCTCTAACTACTTTGGTCCTTAGCAAATCCCCTCTTGATTCTAATTTAGGTTCGAGCATCACCATTCTATGTTCACACCATCTCTACAGCTGCATTCTCTTTCCTTTTCATTAAACAAAGAAATTTCTTTTTCAGCACTAATAAGCATAAAATGAAGGAGTTTTAGCTGTCTCAGCAAGCCGGGAATTCTTGAGTCGATTGTGTTGTTCTCCCCCATAAAAGGGACTTAGTATTCTTGTACTAATGTAATTTTCAATGAATGTGACTCTTTGGTGATTTTTTTAATTAAATCCTGTGATACACCTGGATAAGTAGGCTAGCATTAACAGTCTTTTTTGTATTCTTATAGCTATCGAGGGACTTTGCCACTGCCTCCACATCTACTGAGCAAAAAGTTAAGGTAAATAACTTCTTTGGTTTTCAAAAAGTTAAGGTAATCTTTTGTAGGCCCATACATGAATATAGTAGAATCAAAGATGTTAATGGAGACGTTAAAATGGACATATGACCATACTAGTAACTTGTTTGGGCTCCGTTTTAATTTTAATGCATTTTTCTCTTTTATTTTTTCAACCATACATTCTTCAATAAAATAATATTTCACGTAAATTCAAAACTTTTCCTTATTTTTTAACCACACATTCTCCAAAAAAATCATTATTTCAAAATACATTTTCCCCTAAAACTAATTTTAATGGAGCCCAAATAGGGGCTAGAATGATTAAGAGTGATGATTATTTAACAATTAAAGTTGTAAGCAATTGAGGATAAATCAAGAACAGCTTTTATTGTCAAGATATATCTTGCATATACCTAAACTATGCCACATTTGTGCGATCAACTTGTTCTCAAAAGAACATGTTAGAACAGAGAAAATTAGAACAAAATAAATATGGGGGCCTGACATGGTTACAATTTATGTTATGGACTTTTCAGCCGACATAGTGCGAAAAAGTGGCGGAAAATGATTATATTTATAGCCGACTACAAGTTTATTAGGAATAAGACTTGATTATTTGTAAATTGTATTATAGACATTTATGGACTTATTATTTCAAGAGACGAAATATATTTTGGCATTTAACGTGAGAAAAAGGAGACCGATGTGAGGGCACTTCCGCTGCCGTACAAGTTTCCACTGAGAATCATCCGATAATAGTTTTGCTTTACATATTTGAAATTCTTAAGTATATATATTATCTTCAAGTAACTGGAAATGGATAACTTCTTCAAAGTATGTAAAGAAAAGCATGTGTGGGTACTGTTTCACTTGTCAATATTTCGTTTTACACTTCTACTACTTCAGTGGCAATTTTGTTTGCTATCTTTATAGACCTATTTTTTTCTTCATAAATGCTCATCTGACCTGGAATTTGTGCATTTCTTTTCTTGGCACTTGAAATTTATTCTGAATTCACAATTTCAATTGATGAAGCAACAGTACAATTTTGAAAATGATGGTTCCCTTTCAGTTGGCATATTTAGTGGAAACTAATAAATGAAGTTTGTATATTCGTCATAAGCCACCAGTTCTTGTTTAACCTTTATCTTTCTGTGTCTCTCTTGATAATATGTCATTATGTTTTCTCAATTTTCTGTTGCCATATGAAAATCCCACTGGAATCTTCATTGACTTCTATATTTAAATGCAGTATCACTATATCACCGCCCAAGGGCTCCCTCCTATCATTGGTAAAGACTGAAGAGGAGAGACTTGTGAAAAGTAGTTAAATATTCACATTTACTTTTAGTTATTTTCAACCTCATTAGGATTTTTTGATAATATACAGGCCCTCAATTTACCTTTTTACTTTCATATCTTATGTGTTCAATATATATATTTTTTATTTTCTTTATTATACTAATCTTGTCTTCATTTCTGACCCAGTAGATGTTAATTTCTTGATATTCTGTAGGTTCCTGTGACAATGTTTGGTGTGTCTGGAAACTATGCTTCAGCTTTGTACATTGCGGCAGTTAAAGCTAATGTGTTGGACAAGGTTGAATCCGAGCTTACTGGCCTCGTTGAGGCTTCAAAGAGAAGTCCTGCATTTTCTCAGTTTATGAAGGATTTATCAGTAACTGCTGATGTCAGAGTGAGGGCTGTAAATGAAATTAGTACTGAAGCTAAATTTTCAGATATTGCGAAGAACTTCTTGGGTACATGAATGCTTATTGTTACGCATGGGCTGTGAGTGTATTATCAAATTGGAAAATTAGTTAATATCATGTTTCATCTTCTGATTTAGAAGATGTCTATTGTCATGGGTTGGTAGTTTTAAGAGTGTATGTAGCTTTCATCCCTTGACAGGTCGTCTTTGGTTGGTCGTTCATACTAGTAAACTGGTTGAACTTTTAAATAGGTGCTGGTATCTGAAAAATTTGGTTATTTCTTAAGAGTTGCATCACGCTGCACGCATTTTGATAAAAAACTGTAACCCTTTTCCAGTCTCATATATATAATATAATTAATAAGCAAACTTTAGGTGCTGGACTTGTTCTGCTATACAATATGCCATATCCTATTACTATCTTGATTTGCAGTGATTTGTAAAGGATGTCTGTGTGCTCGTGGTCATCACATTTTGAATTTAATAGCATTGGCTATCAACTTGGTTATCTCATGCACGGATTCACGGTATTTGAGTTCTTGTTGGAATTAATATGAATGGGTGTTGGTTTTATGTTGTTTCAATTACCAAAAAGTTGCATTCTGCAATTGTTTTATGCTTGTGGCATTTTCTGTCACACTTTTTTTTGGAGCACAAAGATTTACAGGATTGAAAATCTCATATATATGTTCTTCTACCAAAAACGTTGGAAATACTTGAAAAAAAAGCATTTTGTTTTAATTGTCACTGGAAATCTATAATTGGAAAGAACTTAATCCTGGTTTCTGATTCTTCTGACCTTTGTGAGCATTTCATTCTTTTCATCTTTCTAGGAAAAAAAGAACATACTCGAAACTGAGATTCTATATGGTTGTGCAGGATTATATGTGCTTGTTTATGATGCTAATAGTTACCCAAAAAGTATGTGGTGTTAGTGAATGACAGCTCTGGTTTCACCTAGCAAATTATCATGTGAATAATTTTTATTATACTATCTATATCTGCAGTTTTTACACATCCCTTGCATTTTGCTTGCACAATCCTGGTTGAATTGTTTCATTTCCAGTTAATGATAATTAATACTTCTGATGCACTGCTATGTTATTTAAATAGGTGCCATTCGTGATTGACTCCCGCTTCTTGTTTGTACCAGCTGTTGTAGCTGAATTTGGGAGGCTGGCACATTTAGAGCATATAGCTCAGAGATTTACGGAGCTGAACATGGCACACAAGGGAGAAGTTAAAGTCATTGTAACATCTGTGATTGTAAGTTCATCTACTTGGACTGTGAATTCTTTTGAGATACTGCCGAAATGGATTATTACATGAACATGTATCTTTCTGGGCGTTGTTCACTCTCTGTGCTCTCTTCAAAATGTATTAATTGGTATATGAAAAAAATTATGAAATTGGCAGAAAGATATTTCTGTTTTATTAATTTGAAACTGTTTGAAAAAAAGATCAGCGGAAAATGTACCTACATGAATACTCAGAGGAATTTATAGACCTTCAAAAATTCCGAAATTGGCAGAAAAAGCAAGAACATGCTTGAAACCTCCCTCTTGCTCAGGGGCCTATATGTGAAATGAGATTTGGGGATATAATATTGTTTAACTTTTGTACAAACTTATATAAGCTAATCTTCGAGTTCATATCAACTGAGTTAAGATAATTTTTTATAATATTGTTTTAACTTTTGCACAAACTTATATAAGCTAATCTTCGAGTTCATATCAACTGAGTTCAGATAATTTTTTATAATATTGTTGTAACTTTTGCACAAACTTATATAAGCTAATCTTCGAGTTCATATCAACTGAGTTCAGATAATTTTTTAACTGTTTTAAGTGATCCATGTTGATCCATCTTATTTGGTAGTAGAAGAACTCATGATAACGTGGGAAAAATACGTGAGTTTTGATTCATAGCGTTCATTAATATCTACTTTCATTTATGTCATTTTACACTGTCACTTGTCTCTGTAGCCTCTACCTCAAGAAGAGGAGAAAGAGCTGAAAGAAACATTGCAGGATATGATGGGTCAGGGGAAGAAGGTTAAGGTTGAACAGAAGGTACGGCCTATTGTTTAATGAATATAATCCCGTTTCTCATGGAGATGTGAATGGAAACTTTCTTAATTTTCCTCTGTGCATGTAGATTAATCCCAGCATTCTTGGTGGGCTTGTGGTGGAATTTGGACAAAAAGTTTTTGACATGTCCATAAAGACTAGGGCACGCCAGATGGAGCGATTCCTGCGGGAACCTGTCAACTTGGACAGCTAAATGGTTACTGGCAGTCCCTCTTTTTCTGGTTATTTCTGATCAATTAGCCTAAATGGACAAAATCAAGAATGTTCATTTGGATAAATAACTTAAAGCTACTTGGTTGCCCCCGTTTCATTTCACAATGTTTCCTGCTGCATTCAAATAAGAGCTACTTGTTTTTTTTCTTATTTTCACATGTTGCCAAACATAGACGAGATCAGATATCGCTTCACTACAATTCTGTTGGTTACGTTGTATTCCGAAATTAATGTTTTTCTATATTTTCTAACTCAAGCTTGTGATATTGGAATATATTTTCAAAAAGCTTGTGAAGATTGTGGATTTGCTGGAAGCAAGAATTGATTGACTACAATAATTGAATTAATGCTGTGTTTCTAACGTTGCTTCGAAATTTTCCTTGTTAATTTAGCTGGATTACACTTTTGTCTGGTTCACATTTGTGTTTGCGCTTGAGTAAACTAGTTTTACTTGTCCTGGGCAAAACTAGATAGTACAATTGACAAGTTTGTAGTTTTTACCTTGCTAGCTGTTTGAACGAGGGTTTAGTACAAGAATTAGAGAGAAGACATTAAGCTTCTTCCTCCCCTCTAGTTTCATTATATAGAAGAATTAGAGTACACGTTTGGTAATTTGACACAAGAATGGAAACACAATAAACTCTAATTATACTCTTGCCTAATTGAGGTGATTTACTTTCTTAACACTTCCCCTCAAGTTGGAGCATATACATCATATAAGCCTAGCTTGGAGCAAAGAAACTTCAACCTATTACCATTCAATGATTTTGTAAACATATCAGCAAGTTGGTCTACTGTCTTCCCGAATGGTGTACATATATCACCACTCACTATTTTGTCTCGGACAAAATGACAATCAATTTCGATATGTATGGTCCTCTCATGAAGAACTGGATTGGATGCAATATGTAGAGCAGCCTGGTTATCACAAAACATTGGAATCGGAGTGGAAGGTGATAGATTGATTTCTTGAAGAAAGTGCTGCAACCATGTCAACTCACTAGTTGTATGAGCCATTGCCCTATATTCTGCTTCTGCACTTGACCTTGCTACTACAGTTTGTTTCTTACTTTTCCAAGAGACAAGGTTGCCACCAAGAAAAGTACAGAAACCAGTAGTGGATCGTCTATTTGACGGAGATCCTGCCCAATCTGCATTTGTAAACCCTTCTATTCTGATATGTCCATTCGGTTTATACAATAATCCAAGACCTGGAGCCTTTTTAAGGTATCGAATAATGCGAATCACAGCTTCCCAATGAGGAACCCGAGGAGCATCCAAGAACTGACTAATGATGCTAACCGCATAGGAAATGTCTGGTCGTGTGATGGTAAGATAATTCAGTTTTCCAACCAAACGACGATATTTTCCTGGTTCTCCAAACAATTCTTCTTCATCTTTCAAAAGTTTCACATTAGGATCCATGGGAGTATCAACAGGACGAGCTCCAAGAAAACCCATCTCATCTAACAAATCAAGTACATATTTCCTTTGAGATAAATTGATACCAGCTCGTGACCTAGCGACTTCAATACCCAAGAAATATCGAAGCTTGCCTAGATCTTTGGTTTGAAAATGCTTTTGTAGAAATTGTTTCAACCGGGCAATCCCATCAGCATCATCACCAGTGATTACAATATCATCTACATAAACTACAAGAACAACGTAACCTGCACCAGTTTGTAAATGAAATACTGAATGATCTGTCTGACACCTCTGAAGACCAAATTCTAAAACAACCTCAGAAAACTTCCCAAACCATGCCCTTGGTGATTGCTTTAACCCATATAAAGCCTTTTTCAATTTACAAATATAGTTCCGGTACTCCCCCTGAGCAACAAACCCAGGTGGTTGCTCCATATAAACCTCTTCGTGTAAGTCACCATGAAGGAAAGCATTTTTAATATCCAGTTGAAACAAAGGCCAACCAAGGTTAGCGGCGATGGAAATCAAAACTCGAATAGAAGAGATCTTAGCAACTGGAGAGAATGTTTCATCATAATCAACGCCATATGTTTGTGTGTAACCTTTAGCAACCAATCGGGCTTTCAATCGATCAACAGTCCCATCAGGATTGAACTTCGGAACAAAGACCCATCTATTACCAACATGATGTATTCCAGCCGGTGAAGGAACGAGTTCCCAAGTCTTATTCTCATGCAAGGCTGCCATTTCTAATTCCATAGCCTTTCGCCACTCAGGATCAGATAAAGCCTCTGTCACTGTCTTAGGTACAAAAATACTAGAAAGTTGGGATGTGAAATAAGAAAAAGAAGGTGACAACGAATCAAAAGTAACATAGTGGCTGATAGGATGTTTAGTTACACAAGTACGTTGACCTTTACGGAGAGCAATAAGCAATGATTCAGGATCAGAACAGATGACGGAAGCAGGATCTGTAGACGACAAGGTGACTGATGGGGCCACAGATGTTGGTGGCTTAGGTCGTCGAGTGTGTAAAGGAGGTGGTGGTTCCTTAGGAGAGGAAGACAACTCTGGTACAGCAGACGAAGTCGAGTCTAGGTCTGGAGAAATACCAACAGGTAGATATGGTATGGGTAAGCTAGCAGGGACACTAGTGGATTCAGACGATATACTATGATTCGAGAAATAGGGTGTGGACTCGTCAAAAGTGACATCTGCACTCACAAAATAACGTTGTAGAGAAGGATTGTAACACCGATACCCCTTTTGTGTTTGGGAGTAACCAAGGAAAATACATTTCATAGAGCGAGAGTCGAGTTTGTCACGACCGGGACCGAAATAATGAACATAACAAACACACCCAAAGACTTTGAGAGACAACGAATGCGGTGGAGAGGAGAAAGACAAAAGAGAGAAGGGAGATGCACCATCCAAAACGGAGGATGGCATGCGATTAATGAGATAGCATGCAGTAATGACAGCATCACTCCAAAATCGTTTAGGGACATGCATATGACAAAGAAGAGCACGAGTAACGTCTAACAAATGACGATTTTTGCGTTCTGCAACTCCATTTTGTTGTGGAGTATATGTGCAAGATGTTTGATGAATAATGCCTTTGGAAGAGAGATATGATGTAAACGAAGCAGACATATACTCTTTGGCATTATCAGAACGCAAAATACGGATTTTCTGGTCAAATTGAGTTTTGATCAAAGTACGAAAGATTTGAAAGATAGAAAGTAACTCAGAACGATGTTTCATTAAGAACAACCAAATCATACGAGAATAATCATCCACGAAAGTGATAAAATATTGAAATTTATTTGATGAAATATTGATTGGTCCCCATATATTAGAATGAACTATGTCAAATAAACTAGAAACACGACTAACTATTCTTGAAGGAAAAGACACACGATGATGTTTGCTAAGCTGACAAGCTTCACATTCAAGAGATGACACATTACGAAGACTCACAACTTGACGTTTTAAAGTGGAAAGAGAAGGGTGACCAAGACGACAATGCCACTGCATGGGCGAAACAGAGGACTAGAGAGCTCGAGGAGAAAGATCCAGGTAATACAATCCACCAACTTCATGCCCCATACCAATCATCCTCTTCGTCTTGAGATCCTGAAAAACACAAAGGATAAAAGGTTACAGAACATTGAAGAATTGTGGTAATTTTACTAATAGACAGTAAACTAAAGGGAAAGCCAGGAACGTGAAGGACAGCTGACAGATCAATATTAGGACTAAGATGGGCATCGCCCGAGCCAGCAACACTAGTTCGGGAACCGTTAGCAAGAGTGACACATTTGGGAGAAATAACAGGATGATAATCAAGAAGAGAAGTAGACGAACCAGTCATGTGTTCAGTTACTCCAGAATCTATAATCCATGCATTGGGAGAGGATAACAATAGGCAGTGAGAAGATGCATTACCTGACTAAGTAAGAGTAGCCATAGAATTGGAAGCGGCATGTTTATGAGCTAAGAACTCAGCGTACTCATCTCGTGGTACAGATAAAAAATCAGATTCGGATGTTGAACTAGAGTTAGCCATTGGTCCAGATACAGTATTATGAGCTTCATTAGAAAAAACTGATTGGCAGATCCAGATGGTTTGCCATGTGCATCCCAACAATAATCAACGGAGTGACCTACACGACCACAATGAGTACATTTTCGAGGTTCACAATTTCCCGAACGACCATTTCCTTTAGTGTCTCGTCCACCCCTAGGGATAAAACCACGTCCACCTCGAGCAATAAAAGCAGAACGATCTCCATGGAGTGTACTATCTGATAAGGTAGAGCGCTGAATACGAGCAAATGTCTCTGCAAGACTGGGGAGCTCTTTTCCACCTAATATTTGTGCTCGAACTGCTTCAAACTCCGGAGAAAGACCAATAAGGAATTTAACAACATCAATATCTTCACGTTGTTTCTCCATAACCTTCAAATCAAGAGAGAGAGGTTGATGTACATTTCTCTCTTGGCACACAGCTAAAAGTTTATTATAATATTCAACAAGACTGAAGGATCCTTTCTCAAGCTCGAAGTATTGCTTACACGTTTCATATATCTGAGTAACATTTCCAGTTCCAGAATGTATGTGTTGGAGATGCCCCCAAATTTGTTTAGCCGTAGTCATATAGAAGGATGAAGAACCGATATGAGGCTCGATACTACTGATCATAAGTCCAATTATGGCATTATCCTCTTGATCCCATCGATCGTTGATAGAAGAATCACTTTCGGAAGATTTGGTAGATGGCTTGTCTAAAATCAAGTGATTAAATAAACTTTTACCTCGTAAGAAGACCTCGACGCACCTAGCCCAGTAAGTGTAATTTCTTTCATTCAATTTTTCAGGTGCCATGGGTCCAGTCAAATTAAATATTTCCATCTTGAAAGACATAAATAAGGCTCACACAATCAAGCCAAATAAATAAAAGAAAGTCCAGCAAATAAAAGGGCCCAACTGACAAAAGAAGGCCCAAATGACGGCAAAAAATATTAACAAAACTGATTTTGGCCCAAACCAGGC